TCTAGTTTGGACTCAATCTGAGATTGTTTTCTTTTCTTGAAGTCTTTTCTGGCTTCCACCATATTTGCCTTAGCAATGTTTTGACTGACAATTTTGTTTAGCCTTTTAGTTGCACACCGATTATCTTCTTCAATCCAAAGTCTCACAGTCAAATCTTCCAGTGTTATTTCCTTTCTCTTTCATTCCAAGAAGGGGGAAGTTTTTCAATAATGGTTTCCACCTGAAAGGATTCACTTGTAACAATCCATTCTGTGAGAATACCATGAATGATCAGTTGGAAAATGATTCACTTGTAACAATCCCTTTTACGAGAATACCATGAATGATCAGTTAGAATTCTTGCAGCTGATTCACAATAGTTTTAGAATCAACCATTACAAAATTTAAGAATTTGGCAACTAGGGATTTATTAGTACAAACATTTTCAATTTTGTATTTATGGTCCAATGCTTTCCATAATTCTTTAATTGTTTTCTTCACACTGTACACTTCATAAAATGCATAAGATAAACCATTTAAGATTTAGTTACGACATAGGAAATTAGAGTGCTTTCATGCTTCGGTAATGTTGAAGGTTGTAGTAACATCCACCTCATCCTCTCTAATAGTAGGAGGATCATCTTTCAAAAATTTAGCCATATTCAATGGTCAAATAGAATAACATTTTCTGTTGCCACGTTTTGAAATTATCTCCACTAAATTTTGCTGTCTTTTCATTATGACTCATGGTCATGGGTAACGTTTAGCTCCAGCCTGAGACTGTGTAGCGACAATTGCATTAGACTGAGAATTGGATGAAGCATCCGACATTTTCTGTTTGAGTTTAGATTAAACTACAACAAAAAAATCATGTCTTAAGATTGTAATAATGTTGTAGTAATAACGTAACGAAACACACAAAAAATAGATTGAAAAAAATAAATTAAAAATAAAACCTGTAATCGGATGAAATTGAATAAAATGAAGAATTTTGTCGAGGCCTGTATGAACATTTTTCTTATGACATATTCGTCCTCTCATTGGTGCTTTGAGTAACGTTGGACATCAGTCTCTCAGGATACAACAACAAACGTTCACAACAATAAGCATAATAGTTATGAACAATCGAACACAATTTTTGTCTTTTTCTGTCGCTGAAAAAAGAATTTCGAAGAATTTCGAAGATATGAAAGGAAATGACTTTAAAGATAAATGAATTAAAGGAATTGCAAGTTGTATTGAAAATGTGTCACAACTTATCCTTTATACAGGGGATGAATTTGGATTGAAAGGTTAAATCATTTCAATGAAGGGACTTAACCTTTTGATTAAAAGACTTAACCTTTAATTTATGAAAAGATTTAACCTCATTCATAAAAAGACTTAACTTTAATTTATGAAAAGTTATGATCGAATCAATTCATTCATATTTTCTAACACCACGTAAGAACTTCCGTTAAATATTAGTAATAAATAACTATATTGAAACCAAATAAACATTTAAACAATCATATTTTAAAAATAATCGGATGGTTATAATTTACCCTTATATTTTAATTCAAAAATATGCAAAATCAAAATGAAAATCTCGTCGTTGTTCTTGTTTCAAGATCTTATACTTAATGTTTTGCCGTATAATTTGACTGATGTTTCTGGATCGACCCACACCGCCCCACGCGTGCGTAATTAGTTTCCTACTGCTTAAACTGACTTTGACTTGGCATCAGAAAACAAGTTGAACAAGGAAGAACAAGATCATCCTCAACTTTGCAACTTTTGCAAACGTGCAAAATACTACAAGACTAATAGAGTTGACTCCATATTTTTTGTTTGAATAATTTTACAATTACATTTAATTTATTTTTATAAATTATTTAGTATAAATCGATTTAAATTCAATAACAAGTATCCGCAATTGATTTTCAAATTAATAGTAATATTTATCTGATGCAATTTACGAGCCCTCCATATTTAGTAAGATTAGATTACTCAATCTTGTTGTTAAATAATACATTGGATTGAGAAAATGATGGAATGTTCATTTGAAAGGTCAAATGATTATTGAAAAGGATTATTGCGTTGATCAAATGATTATTATCTTATAAGTTTGGGGTTTTTTTTAAAGAGTTTGATAACTACTCAAGCCAAACGGATGGACCCTTGAAGGCAATTAGAAAAAGCAAAAGTGAAAGTCAATTACTTAAAAATTCAAAATCATTGGGGGCACGTTAGTTTTTTGTAGTGAGACTTCCAAACAATAGTTTGGCACAAGTGGCTCTTGTAATGGAGAAATAACTAAAAATTTTTGTAGTAGAACTCATTTTTACCTTATAATTTAGACTAAAAAATGCTATGGACAAGTAGGTCTAATGATATTTTTGGTCCTCCACATTTTAAAAAATCATCTTAATTTTCTTTTTTGTTTATTTATTCTTAATTTTTTTTATTTTTTATCAAATTAAATTGGTAAATGATAAATAAATGAAATAATTAACACCAAGTTAGTATATTTTATTTTTTATTAATTGATTGAATTTAATAAAAAAATAAGAACTACACAACTAAAAAATTAAAATTCAAGTATTTAAAAAAATAAGTGACAATAAATATAATTAAACCAGATAAGTATATGTGTAAAATTATCAAATAGGTTGGTTAGAAAAAAATATAATCAAATTGGGATGATGAAAATGGGTCATAATCATATAAAATATAAATGAAATGCATTAAAAGGTTACACTTTTGGGTGGTCCATATCGATCTTTAATTTCGGGTAGTTGCTGGCCAGTCAATATCCATTATATATAATGGAATAAATTTCCTAATCATGATGCATTTAGATGATCTCAGTAGGACTTTTGTGGCTTACGTCTATTACCATCTCGGTAGTTCCATGCAAAGGAAAACACTAAAAAAATTAATTATTTGTTAATTTAATTACAGAAAAATAAATATATATTTAGTTAATTGGTTAAACTGTTTATCTTTATTATAGTATAGTATTTTTTTATATAATGAATTATAGATTTAATAGAAACACTCTCTTTTCTTAAAGTTTTTCCCTTCCAAGTATGATTAATATTAAATTTAAAATTTATTAAAAAATAATATAAAAATAAATTATTCAAATAAAACAAAACAAATAAAATTTGATTCTTTCGAACAAATATTACTTTGTGAACTTTTAGTCTTATTAAAAATGACACTCAAGTTAGTGACGAAGAGTGAGGAAAATAATATAAAAATTCTAAATTGAAAGCAAAATTTATATGAACATAGTCGTTATTTTTTATTAGTTTGAGAGGGTTACAAAATAATATATATTCAAAAGAATTCCAATCGACAATAAATATTAAACACTCTTATTAATGATGTGATCTAACTCTAGACATCTAACGATAACGATCATCTTTTTAAGACTTTAACCATTAACCAGACTTGTTTGTGTTATTATTATTTTTTTTATTTAGACTATAACCATTGAACGTTTGTTTTTGTTATTTAGACTTTAACCATTGAATCTAAAAAATATACTGATTAATAATAATTTAAATTGAATTAAACAATTCTAGATAATATCTTTAATGTAAACTTCATGGAATTTTAGTTTGAATTTGATTTTTAGATATCACTGTCTTAATTATTACCTTTCAAAATGGTGGAACAAACTAATACTAGTTTGAAAATGAGATTTTATTTTAATGTCCGGTTATATATGGTAAAATAATTATGGTCCCAATAAAGTTTGTCATTGTTAGTTCATATAAGGAAAACATATTTAATTAACGAATTAACATATTTCTGTGGATAATTCCACACTCACTGTGATTTCGTTGGTTATTGATTGTAACAATCGTCACGGGTAGCGAATATATAATTATAATTGTTGGTGTTCTTTTTAATAAATAATGGTATTTCAAAATTGGTACCGATATATTTTTAAATTATTTTTAATTGTTTAAATTTTAAATTAAAGATAATTATAAATTTAAGTGTTTTTAATTGTTTAGCGTTGAAATAATCGAAATGACAAAATATTAATTAAATCATGATTCGATTGAAAAATATGATATAAATAAATTGTTTTAAAATATTATAATAAATATATGATGAATAAATATAATAAATAGATCGTCTGCTGAATTTTAAATTCTGTAAAATAATGATGACTTAAAATTAGATTAGTGGACCGAAATCTAATAAATAATATATTCAATGGATGACTGAGTTATTTAATAAATATTAATTATTAAGACTTTTCCTTGTTAATGTTTATGTCCTGTTCGAAAGAAGAAGCAAACGGTCCATTCTCCGTAAATCGTCAGCAATGACATTCCCAACAATTAATACCAATGTTTTCTACTTTTTTTTAATATTAATACCAAGGTTTCAAGATCTAATTTTCCGAACAAAATAATGAAACAAAACAGATAATTAAGTTTAACAAGGATATCAGAATTTTATGAGCTATAATTAATAAAAAATAGCTGGATCGAAATATAATTTTACCATTGGATAATTTAAAGAAAATCTACTTGGACATCATTAATCTTTAATGATCGATGATTAAAATAAAATAACATTATTAATAATTTGGTGATTAATTATATAATTTACCACCATCAACAGCGATCCAGAGCTGGTACAGAAATTGTTCGACTGAGGCCTAGGGTCAGACAAATATTCCCCATTCTCATGCTGACATGGTCACGTGGGACCACATGTCGGGGTTCTGATAGCCAGAATTACGTTCCATGGGGCTCACGTGTCTCATTTCCGTGATACACGTCGGGGACATAAAATCTGACGTGCTGTTCCTCTACGCTGTTTCGGACAAGACGATGACGTGGCACGACAAAAAGAAAAAAAAAAGCTTCCTCTCTTGATATTTTCCCCTTATATAAGCAACCCATTCTTGGTTCAGCTTCTCCACACCGCTTAGCAATCGATTTCTTCGCTTCATCATTAATCACTTTAAAATTTTCGATATTTTAATAATTTTTTTTTGTTTTGTTTTGCTTGCCTTTCCGATATCGATATCCATGGCTGTTGATTCAAATCTCCCGTCTCTACTCGCTGCTCCGGCGTCTGACAAGGACTCGAAAGCTCTTCAGTTCATTGAAGAGATGACAAAAACTGTTGGTTCGGTTCAACAAAGGGTTTTACGTGAGATCCTGAGCCGAAACGCCGAGACCGAGTATCTCGAACGATTCGGCCTCAACGGAGCTACGGACCAGGAGACATTCAAGTCTCGAATCCCCGTCGTTACTTATGAAGATCTCCAGCCTGATATTAAACGTATCGCCAATGGTGATAAGTCTCCTATCTTTTCAGCTCAGCCCATTTCAGAGTTCCTCACCAGGTCAGCTCTTTTAGAAAATAACAAATGGAAAATTCTTAAACTTTTTTTCACTTGTTTAAAATTTTAACAAATGGGTTTAATTTGCAGTTCTGGGACTTCAGCAGGAGAAAGCAAGCTGATGCCAGCAATTCATGAAGATTTAGATCGTCGTCAACTCCTGTATAGCCTTCTCATGCCTGTGATGAACCTGTGAGTATTTTTGCACTTTATTTTATTTTTTTTTCATTTTATTTAATCTTTGTTGAAAACAAAGTTTGATATTTTTGTCTTTTTTATGGTGGGTGATAGTTATGTTCCGGGATTGGACAAAGGGAAGGGACTTTATTTCTTGTTCGTGAAACCTTCGACAAAGACACCGGGTGGACTTTTGGCCCGTCCGGTGCTCACAAGCTACTACAACAGTGACCACTTCAAGACTCGACCGTATGACCCTTTCAACGTCTACACAAGCCCCAACGAGGCCATCCTTTGCATGGACTCTTTTCAAAGCATGTATGCCCAAATGCTTTGTGGCTTGATCATGAGAGACGAGGTTCTTCGTGTCGGCGCCGTTTTCGCCTCCGGCTTGCTTCGAGCCATTCATTTCCTTCAAACGAATTGGAAAGAACTGGCCCATGACATCGGAAATGGAACGTTAAACCCTAAAATAACCGATGCTTCGATTCGGAAGTGCATGAAGAAGATCTTGAAACCGAACGCGGAACTAGCGGAATTCGTTACCAACGAGTGCTCGGTGGAGAATTGGGAACGGATCATCGTTAGAATTTGGCCCAACACAAAATACCTTGAAGTAATCATTACGGGAGCGATGGCTCAATATATCCCAACCCTTGAATATTACAGTGGTGGCTTGCCGATGGCTTCCACCATGTATGCTTCGTCGGAGTGTTATTTCGGTCTCAATCTTAACCCGATGTGTAAACCATCCGAAGTGGCCTACACGATCATGCCAAACATGGCGTACTTTGAGTTCTTGCCTCTTGAATCACCAGCTTCCGGTCTTGTTGATCTCTCCGATGTCGAAGTCGGCAAAGAATACGAGCTCATCGTCACCACTTACGCTGGATTGTACCGTTACCGAGTCGGCGATATCCTTCGCGTCACCGGCTTTCACAACGCGGCTCCGCAGTTCCGTTTCATTAAAAGAAAGAACGTTCTGTTAAGCATCGAGACGGACAAAACCGACGAAGCCGAGTTACAAAACGCCATCGAAAAAGCTTCTCTTCTGCTCAAGGAATTCAACACCAGTGTCGTTGAGTACACAAGTTACGCGGACACCAAACAAATACCGGGTCATTACGTTATCTACTGGGAATTACTTGTCAAGGACTCAGCAAATTCCCCGACCGACGATGTGTTGAACCAATGCTGCTTACAAATGGAGGAGTCGTTGAACTCGGTGTACCGTCGAAGCCGAGTTGCGGACAAGTCAATCGGTCCACTCGAGATAAGAGTAGTGCAAAACGGTACGTTTGAAGAGCTAATGGATTATGCAATTTCAAGGGGTGCATCCATAAACCAATACAAAGTCCCGAGATGTGTTAGCTTCACTCCGATCATGGAACTACTCGACTCAAGGGTGATTTCAAAACATTTCAGTCCATGTTTACCACACTGGACCCCAGAACTACGTCGTTGAGAGCAATGCATAAATTTATTAGAATTATCATCAGCTTTTAAAAAGGCTTGGGTTCAGTGATTACGTTGATTTTGGTTCATGTCAGTTTCATGTTTGTTTGTCACTTGCTGTTGTTTTTTTCTTTCTATAAATAAAGATGAGAGAAAGAGACATGTAAGAAGTCTCATGAATAACTACTACGATATTGTATGAACAATAATCTATGTGTATACATGATTTATTATCTATTTAGATTTTGGTGCAGAAAATTTAAATCGTAAAGAATTATATTAATATTTTCAAATTAAATTTGAATTCAAAATAAATATTACGAATAGCAGTCAGATATGAAAACTAAGTTTATTTTTATTATTTTTCTCTTTATATCTATGAAAGCTTGCATGTACGTCGAATAAGATAACCTAATTGACCTTTATTTTAAGTTAATAATAAATATAATATATATATTTAAAATTATAATTTGTTTTTTTAAAAAGGTATTAATTAAAAATTATTTTTGACGATTAAAGATAGATACAACACTAATAAAGAATTAAATCTCTTCAATAATAAAAATTAAAATTTGACAATCATTTTTACCACAATTTAAATATGGTATATTCAAATTAATTATATATTAATAATAAAAAATAATCAAATAATTTAAAATATATTTATTTTTCAAATCATAAACACAAAATATTTTATCCTCAAATTTAAACATTTAATAATAAATACTCATACAATCATGTAAATGTTTTGTTTCAATTAAAACTTTTTTTAAGACAACTACTGCTCTACCGTTGACTACGTGTGAAAGAGCTATTTATTCTAAATATTTTGATTTCATCTCTAAGCTATAACTATTATTCTAAATTAATCCTCAAACTTTTAAACATTTTAATTTCATCCCAAAACTATGACCATCATTCTAAACTGGTCTCCGAACTTTTTTATCATTCCAATTTCATCCCAAACTATACATATATACTAATCAAATCCCTTGTTAATAAGATCATTAGGCCAAGTTATATTATTATATGTTTGAAAAATCAAAATTTAGGTTAAAATATGGTTGAAACTAATACATATTTGGATGAATTTGGGGATGAAATTGAAATATTCAAAAGTTTTGGGACTAATTTATAAAGAGGGTCAAGTTTAGAGATGAAATTAGAATGTTCAAAAGTTTGAGGACCAATTTAGAATGAGAGTCTCAGTTTAGAGATGGAATTAGAATATTCAAAAATATAAGGATCAATTTAAAATAAAAATTATAATTTGGGGACATATAATATAATTACTCATAAGTAAAATAAAAGGTTTTAAACTATATACACTGAATCAAACATCGGGTCAAGATTTGGGATTTGGGAAAGAGCTGAAAACCAAAACGACAGCGTTTGCGGAAAAACTGACAAATCCAAATATTCCATCCAACTCCTAATTTTATATTATTTGTTTAGTTAAGTTATTTCGGTGCAAAGATCGCTTCAGGTACCTTCCGTGGCGCTGATTCTCTCTCTCTCGAGATTCCTTCAATTCCCAGAGCCGTCCCGAGCCACCGCACTTGTCATGGCATGGGCACTCGTTAACATTGCCGTCAGAACCGTCGGATTCTTCCTCTTCTTTGTTCTCTCCCAATCAAATCCTTCCACGTTGTTATCACCAGTCCTCCTCCCTCCACCTTACCATGGCGCGCCTTCCGCTGTGTCTCCCTCTCTATCCTTCTCCCAATAATTCCTCTAGAACCTTCTCCAACACTCCTCGTCACCTTCTCAGATCTGATTCTCACTCTTCCCATACAAATGCTCGCATGAGACTCTACGACGATCTTGTCCTCAACGGGTAAAATATCATCACATTATTATATTTTGATCTTTATTTATCCTTTTATTTCTTTCAGCTGATATTTTCTAGGATTCGAAATTTCGAAGGTATTACACTACGCGGCTTTGGATCGGGACACCTCCTCAGCAATTTGCGCTTATAGTGGATACCGGAAGTACTGTGACGTATGTTCCTTGCGCCACTTGCGAACTATGTGGATCGCATCAGGTAATGTTAAAATTTCTTTTGACTTTTCAAATTTGAATTTTCATTCGTGATTTTTTTCTGCTTGTTTTCTATCTGAATTTTCTGTTTACTTAACCGTTTTTGATATAATGTATTCCAAGCATATTAGATTAGATCTGAATTGAGGAAGCCCCTTTATGATTTGTTAAGCATCACTCTATTCTTTGTGATTTCATTAAGCCCTATTTGGTCGTAGCTTCTTTTTTACTTTTGAGAATTTCATTGTACAGTACTTGCCAACCTGTAAAGTGCACTTTGGATTGCAATTGTGACGCTGACAAGGAGCAATGCCTTTATGAGAGAAAGTATGCTGAAATGAGTAGCAGTAGTGGTGTACTTGGTGAGGATGTCATGTCCTTTGGGAATCAAAGTGAACTTGTGCCTCAGCGTGCGGGTTTTGGTTGTGAAAATGAGGAAACTGGTGACCTTTACAGTCAACATGCTGATGGCATTATGGGATTGGGTCGTGGTGATCTCAGTGTTGTTGACCAACTTGTTGAGAAAGGTGTGATCAGTGATTCTTTCTCATTATGTTATGGAGGGATGGATATTGGTGGGGGCGCTATGGTTCTTGGAGGCATATCTGGTCCATCAGACATGGTCTTTAGTTATTCGGATCCTGTTCGGAGGTAAGTTTTTGTAGACAATTTTATCTCCAAGATAGAATATGTCATCAACTTCCTAAAATACATTCGATACATCTGACACATTTACTCTAGTTTCGGGATGGCAACAGTCCATACTACAGAGGTATTAAACTACTCAGCCATACCATGAAGCTATGGGAAAGGGTGATAGAGACTAGGTTGAGACAAGTTATTAGGGTTTCGGAAAACCAATTTGGCTTTATGTCAGGCAGGTCTACCACGAAGGCGATTCATCTACTTCGACGGCTTATGGAGAAATATAGGAAAAGTAGAGATCTTCACATGGCGTTCATTGACCTTGAGAAGGCTTATGATAGTGTACCCCGCGATACGATCTGGAAGACTTTGGAAACGAGACGGATCCCAACTGCTTATATCCGGGCGATTCGTGATATGTACTGTAGATCTACTACTTACGTCAGGACTACAGTTGGCGACTCCGAGGCATTCCCGGTGGAAATCGGACTCCACCAGGGGTCGGCTCTTAGCCCTTACATCTTCGCCTTGATTATGGACGACATCTACTGTGCGACACCAGACGGTGTACCTTGGTGTATGCTTTTCGCTGACGACATTGTCCTAGTTGCTGAAACAAAATCTGAGTTGAATAGTAGACTGGCTACCTGGAAGACTGCTTTGGAAGAAAAAGGTTTAAGGATCAATATTGAAAAGACAGAGTATTTATGTTCAAACTTTAATGGGAACCAAAACGATGAAGATAGAAGTAGCATAGAAGGACACGTTCTCCCCTCAAAGGATTGTTCAAGTATCTAGGGTCTATGATACATAAAGATGGGGTGTAGATGATGACGTTACACACCGTATAAAGGTGGGATGGCTAAAGTGGAGGGCCGCTACTGGAGTTCTGTGTGACAAGAAGGTGCCTCTAAAACTTAAGGGAAAATTTTATAGAATAGCAATAAGACCAGCACTGTTGTATGGATTAGAATGTTGGGCAACCAAGAATGATCACGTAAGGAGGATTGAGGCCGCAGAAATGAGGATGCTTCGATAGACATGTGGTAGGACTCTATGGGATATGACGACTAACTCTGCTATTAGGATGTCCTTGGGGGTGGTGTCTGTTTCCGAAAAATTGAGGGAGGGAAGACTACGGTGGTTTGGGCATGTCCTTAGACGACTACCGTCGGATGCGGTCAGGAGGGTAGAATCGATTACAGTCGACGGTGCCAGAAGGAAAGGACGACCAAGGCGGAAGTGGGAAGACTGCTTGAAATCTGATTTGAGGGATTTAGCCCTTATCGAAGACATGACCTCTGATAGGAAAATATGGAGGCTAAAGACTATGGTAGTCGAGTAGTGTGGGTCACATCTATAGGGTGTATCATCTCTGTCTTCTTTTAATGTCTTTGTAGTATTTTCCATGACTTCTACTTTTTATATGTTTCTGTTATTGGTATTTATGAAGGATTAGAACTGCGCTTGCTATCGTTGACTTCTGTGTATCATTCTCTTCATGTTTCCTCTTTTAAATTTAGCGGTCTTATGTTTCTGTCTATATGCAGAGATTTTTTCGCAGGGATTATTATGCAGGGATTAATTCCCGTTACAGACGCACATATGATTTTAATGACTGCATATGAATATTTTAGCTATGTATTTATTTATATATGCACTGCATTTTATCTATATTTTTAATTTTCTGACTGCCGGAGGTCTTCCACGGAAGCTACTCTCAACCTGGCGTTGGGAGCAGCCTACTACCCTACCTCCCCCTTACCCCATACATATAGGAATTGGGTTTTGTTGTTGTTGTTGTATTTGAGAGAGATACATGTTGCGGGGAAGCAGCTACATTTGAACCCGAGTGTCTTTGATGGGAAGTATGGAACTGTTTTGGACAGTGGTACAACATATGCTTATCTACCAGAAGCAGCATTTTTGGCATTTAAAGAAGATGTAAGATTAAATTCCCATGAATGAATCATATATTGTTAATGTTTTAGCAGACCTATTGATCTATTTTTAGTGGACCCTCTTTATCTCCGAGCTGAGTGATTTGTGTAGTTTAAATGGCTTAAAACTTTTCTTCCTTAATGCTGTTGTATGGGGTATCTGTGAGGTTTTATTCTAACAATTGCACTATTTATCTGGAATTTTATGCATGAGATAACTACACGCCCAATAGGTTGGCATTTAACAGTCAAACTTAACATTTTTATTGCGTGTTTGTTCTTTTCTCTTATGATTCGTTTTTGCATCTTTCTATTGCAGATCTTTAAAGAACTTAGTAGCTTGAAGAAGATCCGGGGCCCTGATCCAAATTACAATGACATATACTTCTCTACTGCTAGCAGGTATCACTTACCCATTGTACGGTATACCACAATAACAACACTAAACAGTTTTTAATTATTTATTGTAAAAACTTATTAGTTATATTTGCTGTGATATTAAAAGTTCGTTTTTCTTCATCAGTGATGTCTCTGAACTCTCAAAAACATTTCCAACAGTTGACATGGTATTTGGCCATCAGCAAAAATTATCGCTATCACCTGAGAATTACTTGTTTAAGGTAAGCTTTTCATATAGTAATTGTTTTTCTGTTAATTGAACTTATTTCTTTCTTGAGATATTCTTCTAAGGTTAATACGTGAAGTTGGTTTAGGAAGAGTTGTATTTGAGCTGAAGTGTGTTTCTGCTTATCTTATATCTTATATTTTCATATAGCATTCAAAGATCCGTGGTGCATATTGCCTTGGCATCTTCCAAAATGAAAAGGATCCAACAACCCTTCTAGGAGGTATGTTATTTTCATATAACTTGTGTTTCATGATGTTATTCCTGTTGAAGTAGCATCTTCTTTGGCAAAGTTTGGCCAAGTATCTCCAATTTGAAATCCAAAGCTTTAGTTTGATGTCATGAAAGTTCTTGACTGTTGTCCAAACTAATCATATGTTTGTAATAGGAATCATTGTACGTAATACTCTGGTTACTTATGACCGCAAACATTTAAAATTGGTTTCTGGAAGACTAATTGTTCTGAGCTATGGGAAAGGCTACACGTACCTGGTGCACCATCATCATCTCCATCTTCACGTGGGAAGGGTAATTCAACTGTGTCACCAACTACATCAGTTCCTGGTGGGTCACCTCACTATGATCTTCCAGGTACATATAAACCATGGTTTTCTGGGATCGTACATGGTTTTTATTTTATTTGATAAATCCATTCAAGGACTAGAACTCCGTTCTGCTTTCTATTTCATTGTAAAAAATGAATAATCAATGCTTTGTCAGTTATGCTCTCGATGTAAAATCTTGTACTACACCATCAATGTCACGTTTCGATTTCCCTGTCCTGTGTAAAACCCTTATCTATCATGTCTTTCAGCAGAATTAATTCTGATGACACTTCTTTGTTTAACAGAGGAAACTCAGATTGGTAAAATTACATTGGATGTGTCATTGAGCACCAACTACTCATACCTAAAGCCTCAGATCAACAAACTGACTGAGGTCGTTGCTAAGGAGTTAGATGTTAATGCGTCACAGGTTCACCAAATACTTCGAATTTTAAACTATCTTGCTGAACAGTTGGATCTTTTTTCTATGGTTTCAAATAATCTTTATTTATTTATTTTTTTGGATAATTCCAGCTCAATTTATTGAATTTTACATCTGAAGGAACTAGTTCACTTGTCAGATTGACCATCACCCCTTCAGGATCATCATCCTACATTTCTCATGAGAGTGCTACAGTAAGTGCACTTCAAGCTAATTGCAGTTCTTTTGATATAACGTTACCGCTTTTTGCTCGAGGAATTTCATCTTTCAGAATATAATTTCTCGACTTGCTGAACACCACGTGAGGCTTCCTGATACTTTTGGAAATTATCAATTGGTGCAATGGAAAGTTGAACCTTCCGCGAAACGGTATGTTTCCCTTTTCTAATGTCCTGTTTTCTGTCATAGTTTGTCATTCTCTTTATCTATATCACGGTATTGAACCCCAAAGGCTGCAGTCTTATGCCACCTAAAAAGATACCTTTGCTACTCTCTCAATTCATGAATGCTCTCTGTCTATTTACGTTTGGATATGATAATAGTTCATCGGCTCTGATATAATGAATCGGTTCATGCATAAAAGCTTGTACACTATAAACAGAAAGCGATTTAGATATCATACAAGTATTTTAGCCGTATTTGGTATGTACATGATACAGGTATACTCACTCTTTATCCAAGTTTCTTTATATGTTCCATACCCATGTCACGCACAAGTATCACACGGATATGTAGGGGAAAATACGAAGATTAGGCGATGGAAATGATACAGGACATGGTGGCAGCATAAATATATGACGGTTGTTGTGGCAACTATCGTGGTAATAGTGGTCGGGTTATCAGTTTATGGATTTTGGGTTATGTGGAGACGCAGACAACAAACGGTGAATACATATAAACCCGTTGGTGCAGCCGTTCCGGAGCAAGAACTTCAGCCACTATAGTCTTTCAAGCCTCCTCGGTTTTGGTTAGTATCCAGGTTTGGAATTTGGCTTGGGAATCAAAACAGTTTAATGGGTCAAAGCATTGTTCTTTTTTTTTCTTCATTATTTAAAAAAATATATATATACGGAAGAATTCGTTCAATTAAATGCCAAACTGAGATAAAAAAGGAGAAGCTCATTAACCAATAAAAATGAATCCGTAAACGCTCATTAATCAATACATATATATGTGGTTTTGATTTACAATGTTTTCATATTTTTCCATCTTGCAATATTCAGTGTACTTTTGGTAGAGTAGAGGTCAACCTAATTAAATTTCTGGGTTTCGATTTAATTAGTTGAATTGAATTGAATGTAATGTTGAATAAATGTTGGGGTTTATTTGATTCATTGCAGCAATGGATTTTTCTGAAAAATTGTTTACATAAAATAGTATCTTTTAAAGAATAATTTTCAGAACTGATTTTACTATGAAAATCATTCTCTAATGAATGATAACTAAAAATATTTATTATAAATATAAAATATTAATATTAAAATATTGTTTACGTCAATATTAATATTAGAATATTGTTTTTTATTAATTATATATCAAAATAAAAATAATTTTTTATTATACTAAAGTTATTATATTATTAAAATCATTATATTAATAATTTAATACTACATATTATTAAACTAAAATATAGTATCATTACTATAATATAACTGAATATATGATATGATTAAATTATTAATAAATATATTTTAATAATTAATATTTTTTATTTATATAATATTAAAAACCGACTCTAAAAATGTCAAAAGACCAAAAGGATTACATTGTGAAATTAAAGTATAAATACTTCGTTCTTGAAAGTAACATTCAGTATATCTTGAAAATGGAAAGGAAAAACCAAAAAAATGGGGAAATTAAATGTATTAAACTCTCGGACAAAGTTACTGAGGCGAATGAAAGTAAATGAGAAGTCCACAGCCTTTCAAACTGCCTTAACACAGGGAATGGAAGCCACGATATATAATAAACAATAAACAGCAAACTCATGTCTTACCCCAAATGAGTACGGTTCTGATTTACAAATGAAATCCTCCCGGGGAATGAGCTACTGAGTCCGCATCCTGCTGCTCTCTGCTGCCCTGACTTGTGCAAAGTAAGGATGGGCCTGCAACGAAACGATGTTATATTCAGACTCGAGTACTGATTGTCGGATTTTTTAGCCTTCTTTCCTGTATACTTGGAGGATCATACCCCATATTTATATTCGGATACTGGTTGCTACATTGTATCCATTTCACATTTATATATGAATATAGAGATGTTCATGAAGAAAAAAAAAGTAAAATAGGAGAACGAATATTAGAATTACCATAGTTCTCTAGCAGTTAGCCTGTCCTGATGGTCATACCGAAGCAACTTATCAAGAAAATCAATTGCCTGAAAATCAAAACAATCGAAGAATTAATATCACTTATAAGGCATTTAGCTTTGACAGGGCTTGCATTTTTCTGGTTTCGTAGATGCTTGTCGAAAGAAGAAAATGACCTCCGGGGAAACGAGATGCTGATTATCTGCGTTAATGAATTTGGACCAGGGTTTGCGGCTGTGCCTGAAATACATCATATTAATACATTAATGGAATAATACCAACTGTTCCACATTAGTTCAGGGGTTATTATTGTTATCTACACAAGGAACTGCAGGCACCGCAGATGCATTGCTATGGTTTGATGTAATCGGAGCATTTGTTTTATAATTAGCCACAAACTTGAATCCTGAACAAGTTCATGTTTAATGTACCTTCCAACAAGGGCATCAAGTTGAGGATCGAGCTCCAAATGGTATTTGTTGAGATAAGCATTTAACTCATCCGTTCCGAGCACCTGAAGTTACATTATAGAAGTCAAAAGGTTTGTGACATCCACGAAAACTGGAAATACTTTGTAAGGAGAAGGCCATTTTTTTTTTTTACAAAAAAACTGGTGAAAATACAACTGGTTTGATAGTGCATGTAGAGATTCCCCTGACACCTATACCCCATCAAATAAAAGTCGCAAAGGCTCAAATGTTTAAATTAAAACCTTCAAGGTTAACGCTGCACTAGAAAGAAAGTTTTTTCTTTTTGTGGTGGGGGAGGGGGGGGGGGGAGGCAAACAACACTAGACTAGGAGGTGCAGAAATGTTTACAAAATTGATGCTCCCGATATGGGTTTTAAAAGCAAGATCGATAATATGAGATGGCTAAGCTGATAAGATACAAGGATAGAGGGTAATACATTATCCCAGCAGTAGACAGAAAATGATAGATTATACTAAGCAAAACGCAAACGAGAAAAATAATAGCAAAAGTGATCTTCAACAAAGAATTTAAAATTTCACAAATTTGCAGTAGCAGAATACCTTCGCAATTTTAACTAATTGGTCATGGTTGTCATGGCCATAGAAGAATGGTTCCTTCCGGAATATCTACAAAATAAACAAATATAATAAACATATCAAACAACCTAAATATTCTATTACACGCCAAAATTTGATCTTCCAAAAAAGGTACAAATATTTTAGATCTACAAAAAAAATGTCATGTCTTAGTGTCTTACCATTCCAGCAAACAACATACAACCGAGGCTCCACATGTCCAGTGAATAGTCATAGTCCTGTAAATCAACAAGAAGCTCGGGACCTTTAAAGTACCTGAGAAAGGAGAAATTTAAATTCACCAAAACTGAATCCATGCCGTAAATGGAAACATAAATGGAAGAAATATTCACAGAGCTATAAATCATTCAAAGAATCTGAGCTCTTTGATAACTTAGATTTGAAACTAATACTCTGAAACTATAACAACAAAAGAAAAGGCAGGTGCATTCTTGAAGGAGTCCTATTAGCGGTTACACAAAAGAATATTAAATCTAGTACCTATCTAATTTCCCCTAGCTTGGCTCATTAAATTTGTGATAAATTTTCTTTCGATACACCTGTAGCACAAACCAAATTTAGTTTCCATGGTTAGGAACAAGCACGGAAAGCGTACTATAAATTAACCCCAAAAGAATTTTATTTTCTTTCAGATATGGACTAATATTTAAGCTCATTTTATTTTCAATGTTCTGCCATTTTGAAGGAATGTCACTCTTGAAGATTAGTCATATTATTCATGAAATCTTTGAAACATTACCTAGAAGCCACACGGACATTATACTCTTTGCCAGGATGGTAAAATTCAGCAAGTCCCCAATCTATCAAGCGAAGTTTGCGCAGCTCATGATCTATCATGACATTGTGAGGCTTGACATCTCTGTGCATTATTCCTTGTGAATGACAGTAATCTAACGCCTTCAAAGCAAAGAAATATTTTCCTATCATCCTCTGATGCAGACATACAAACTAGAAATCCTCATAAAGCTTGAAAAAAGATAAGTCAATAATGGGAAATCAATCAAGAAATGACTAAAACTAGAAACAATCACCAAACAAATACCATGATTGAGTTCATATATGAGTAATCACCAAACATAATGAGTAACTGCATAATGTTACCTTGACGAGCTCATATATGTAGTAGCGAATATCGTAGTCCATCAAAGTAGGAAAGAGAACTTTGAAATCCGTACTGTTGACATGCTCGAATATCAAGCTAGGCGTTTTGGAGTGATGATCCCTTACAATATCAAGAAGCTTAACAATATTCGGCCCACCACATAGATTCTGAAGGATTTTTATCTCTCTCTTAATCTGCAAATAATAACCATAGCAAATATTAGATTTATAAGATTCAAGAATATGACTTAAATTTTATCTCGTATACATCTACTGGAAAATTATTCAAATCTCATAGATATAATTAAGTACTACTAACCTTCTTTTTCTTAACAGGCTTGAGGATCTTGATTATACAGCGTTCATTGTTATTGACATTTATGCCTTCAAAAACCTCACTGTATTTTCCCCTTCCAACTTTCCGAACAACCTCGTAATCATCTTGATCTTTAGACTAAAATTAAAGTTTTTTTAAACTTTGGGAACTGAGTGGGATTGGGACTCTTTATGCATTGAAATATCGGTGGGATTCTCGTACGGCGAGTTAAAGGTATGGTTGTAAGAAGAGAATCTGGTGACGCGCAGTCTTTTATGGATTAATGGAAAATACTCTCGAGATATTTGTTGGATATTATATCACAGAGATACACACAAATATTCATGCGTGATGAACACGAATAGATATTTAACTCAAATTAAGAATTTGATTTAATTAATTTAATGAAATTATTTTTAATTGTATAAATTATTAAAGATTCTTTAACTCGTAACAGCTGATGTAACCTTGATCAAATTTGAATTAAACAGCGCAAGAACAAAAGTAGTCAAGTATGAAGCATAAACGATAAGATTGAAGGAGCTAATTCAAAGAGTTTACCCCCATTGAACAGTAAGAGACTCGTAATCCCAGTACTCCTTAGGACGAAGGACGTTGACGTCAGCATAGACTCGAGCTTTGGACATGATTTCACAGCCGTTGGAACGGGAGATCTCGTCGATCTTACAGTTATCGAAACGGTCACCGCCGACGGATAGGAGGTAAGCGACGGTGTCGCAGACTAGCAAGAGGCGGTGTTAAAGTGGACAGCTGGTGGTGCGGCGGACGTCCATGCATACGAGAGAGGCGGGTTTGGCAAAGGAGGTTTCGGCTTTTGAAGGATGAGGGCAGATGGGTTTTAGGCCATTTTAGCTGGCTATGAGCTTAACTGCGCTAAAGATGTGAAAAAGATAATTAATAGAAGCGAAATTTAAGTTTAAAATCCAAAAAAGCACCAAAAACCAAATTATTTTCAGGGTAAACTAAACAAATGGTCACTGATATTTTAAAACATTTTCGCTTTTCCTAATTAAGTTTTAAAAGTAATATATCGGTCACTAACGTTATCGATTTATTACAAAATAGTTATTCTACCATCATCCCATAAAACTGATGCCGTTTAAAAAAGGATAATATTTATTTTTAATCCTAAATTATTACTAAAACATTAAATATCTCCTTAAACAATCATTTTATATCAAAATTATCCAAAACCTTCTATTTCAAGTTCTTTATCAAATACTTACCACAACCACCACTGTATTCCTCCCCTCTCGGCCTCTCCACCTCATCAGCTTCCAAATCCAAATGTAGTCGTCTCGACTTAACTCTCTCCCCTATGAGAAAACACATTGCCGACCGATGTTAATTAAAGATTGCTTGTACTTGTGTGCATGTTAATTAAAATCATTGTTTAAAGATCTATTTAATGTATTAGTAATAATTTAGAAGAAAAACTAAATATTAACTTTTTTTTACATTTTCATGTCATCAATTTAATGAAATGACGGTAGAGTGATCATTTTATTATAAATTGATAATACTAGTGATTAATATGTTACTTTTGAGACTTTAGTGGAAAAGATTAAAACTTACTCAAACATTAGTTATCATTTGTGTAGTTTACCCTTACCTTTATTAAATAAATAAATAAACTGATCTATCTCGAACAATTTTATTTTTAAAAATTTAAAAGTTCAGTTTGAAATTTAAAATATATATTTTGGTTCAATTTATTTAATTTTGGTATTAAAAATCATTTTTCAATTTTAAAATTTAAATTTAGACTAAAATTAAAGTTTTTTTTAAACTTTGGGAACTGAGCTGGGGATTGGACTCTTTATGCATTGGAAATATCGGTTGGGATTCTCGTACGGCGAGTTAAAGGTATGGTTGTAAGAAGAGAATCTGGTGACGCGGCAGTCTTTTATTGGATTAATGGAAAATACTCTCGAGATATTTGTTGGATATTATATCACAAGAAGATACACACAAATATTCATGCGTGATGAACACGAATAGATATTTAACTCAAATTTAATGAATTTTGATTTAATTTAATTTAATGAAATTATTTTTAATTGTATAAATTATATTTATATATGTATTAGGGGTGTGTAAAAAAATCCAATCCACCGATCCGATGATTCGATCCAAAAATTCGGATATTTAATCCGTTTTTCAATTTTCGGATAGTTTGGATCGGTTATCCAAATTTTTTTTTCAGATTATCGGATCGGATATAGATCGATAAAAAATTATGTTCGGATTATCCGAAAACACGATAATCTTCCTTCCCGATACAATCTGCAAGAAACCCTCTGCCATTACCTCATCGCTGACAGGCATCAAGCTTTGTTAATTAACATCAATGGCTTTCCCCTTCCTAGGACAATCTCCTAGTTTTTCATTGATCTGAGAATCCTTTGTTTGAATTGCTTGCCTCAAGGCCTTCCTGAGATCTTCGCAATAGCTTTCTAAATGCTTCAGCTTCTGCTTGAGCTCTCCTAGTGAGGATCTCATCTCGGCAACTTCTATTAGGGCCGCATCTCGATTCGCATGTGCTTCTACCAACTCTTTCTTCGGCGCTTTGATCGACAACATGCCGGAGTCCTTTAGTACTTGCGCAATCTCCTCGTATTATGTTTGGTTCGATGAATTCTCATTCTTCTGTTTCTTCTTTAACCGAGGCAATAATCGTGAAATCATCCCTCGGTTCCTTGGCTGTGATTGAACAGATGAATGAGAATCCGATAGTGGCGCAACCGTATCCGAATTCTTGACGGTCCTAACCAAATTTTCGGATTCAGATGTTATGACAGCTGGCTTGCATCTATTGCAAGATGACACCGATTTGAAATCCCCCAAACTGTTCCTCCTACTTCTAGCGGACGGTGATGTTTGTAGGATACCAAGTAAATATAAATATTTTAATTTCTGTTATTTTTTTTGAATTTTTTGCAAAATAAAAAGGGATTCAATCCGGATATTTGGATATTCGATCCGAAATTTCAGATATCCGATTTTTCAGTTCGGATAAGGATCATTATTTTAGGTATCCGAAATTTTTCGGATATCCGAAAATTTAGATCGAATAATATCCGATATCCGATAATACACACCCTAATACGTATAGATAATTCCTATAACATCATTTTATTTATATATATTTTCTTTATGTAGTAAAGTGCAATGGTTTATTCTCTATACGACATTGTTATGTTGAGTATTTCAACTACTAAGAGTTATAAAATAATCTTTTGATTATAAAGTATTATTTTGTTGAGTCTCGATTATTGAAAGTTACCAAATGATCATTTGACTATTTATACGTCAAACTCATCCTTTTTCATTAAAAATTTGATGGTCGTTTGAGCTGCACGTTAACCTGTTGATTTGGATGATAAAATTTGATCTCAAAATCTCAAACGATTTTATAATTCAAACAATTATGAGATCAAATTTTATCATATTTATTTAGCTAATTAATGTCCAGCTCAGACGAATGTAAATTTTTTAATGAAAAATGACGAGTTTGAAATGTATAAATAGTCGAGTGACCATTTAAGAACTATTAATGGTTCAACTGAGATGATCATAATTTTTTTAATGAAAAATGACGAATTTGAAACTTATAAATAGTTGTGTGACTATTTTACAACTATTAATATTTGAGAAACTAAACAAAACAACTCTCTATAATTGGCGATCATTTTATATTTTTAATAATCGGAGACTCAACAAAACAATACTTTATAGTCGGGACCATTTATATACTTTCCTCGAACTTATATTAAATCAAATAGAATCATATATAAATTTATATCTTAAAATAAAAAAAACTAAAATTAAATTATATAATAAATAAAAAGTATAATACTTAAACCAAAATTAAATGAACCAAAAACAGAAACTTTATTTATGACCTTCCTACTAATGAATCGAAATAGTAGTAGCCCGAGTTGGAGCTCAATGTTCATGGCTTTAGAATTTTAAGGAAACTCAATGATTAAATACTAAAAAGGTGGATCGAGTCTTATTATAATTTATAAAATTATGACTATTATATTTTAAAAATAATAATAAATTCTAGTATTTTTAAGTGAACTATTTATTTATTTATTTATAAAAAAAATTCAACAAGGGTCGTACAGTTGACCAGGACAAGGAAATATCAACTTTAAAGCATTTGGTCATAAGAACTCAACTCAATCCCAAGGAAATCTAAGTGTGAGGGAAGAAGCCGCTGTCAAACTCGTCGGAATGCTCATCGACGACCGTGGAAGTCATTTCGTAACACAAACAAGGGCAAAACTCACGAGATAATGTGTTAGGAAATTTTATTTTACGATAATGTTCTCCCCATATTAATTGTTGAGATAGGGCGAATGCTACAGTCCCCGTCGTTGGTTGCCAAGGGCTCAGAGATACTTTGGAGGTCGCCATGTATACCAGGCGAGGAAGGAGGACGCACAGATGCCCTGGCGACTAAAGACTTTATACAAAATAATTGCTCATGGATTTTTTGGTGAATAATTGCTCCCCAGTCCCTATACTCTTAAGACTTGGAATTTAGTGAATAAGTATTCAAATGATAATGCACACTTCAAATTTAGTAAAATTAATTAATAATATCAATTAAAAGTTTAATTTTAAATCAGATAATTAAATAGTTTAAGGCCCTTACTGAAAATATTTTGAAAATTTTAGTCATTTAAAATATTTTCAATGATCTAATTTAATTTTTAAAATATGTTTGATAATTAAAAGAGAAACTAATCTTATGATTTTTTTTATGAAAAATATGGAGATAATAAATATAGAAATAATACTTAATTTTAAATAAATTTTACAATTTGGATTCAATATTTAAGTTTTGAATAATTTATTCAGAGCTCGAGTTTTAATTTATCAAACATCTAAATTCTTGGGACTAAAGTAGAAAGACTAAAATACAAGTCTTAAGAGTACAGGAACTGGGGAGCAATTATTCACCAAAAAATCCAGAAGCAATTGTTTTGTAGAAAGCCTTTGGTCGCCAGGGCATCTGTGTGTCCTCCTTCCTCGTCTGGTATACATGGCGACCTCCAAAGTATCTCTGAGCACTTGGCGACCAATGGCGGGTATTGTAGCATTCGCCCTACCTCAGCAATTAATATGAGGAGAACATTATCTCGTGAAATAAAGTTTCCCAACACATTATCTCGTGAGTTTTGCCCACAAATAAGGTTGGATCAAGCTCAAAAAGTTTATGCGAAAAAAAGTAACGGAGAAGAAGGCAATAATCATCAATTCAGATTATCAGAGATTAATACAAGAGAAAAACTCATTACATAATAAATATATACATTTTTAAGAAAAAAACCCTTCAAGCAGGCACCCAAGTAGTGGCAAATACAACATTATGTCCTTTCTAAGTAAGAACAATATCATCTTCTTCTTTCTTCAATCCCCATCCAGCTGCATATTCATCAAGATCCTCCTCACTTCCGAAATCCCTTCTTCTCTGAACCCAACTCCTCTAAACTCCGCCTTCCTCATCCGTTGCACCCACCGCCTCTGCAGACCCTTGTTAGCTACGACATTCTCTATCTTCCAACTTATATAGGCTTCATACCATTGCCTTTGCTTGCTTCCCTTTGGCAGAAACATATACACTGTGTCGTACGGTATCCATAGATAATTTAATGCAGATTTCAATCTGCACACCACATTATTTGATGTTAAATCGGCATCTTCTGTTGCGGAAGACGGCTATCGGATAGAGCAAAATCGCAACTGATAATTTGAGAAAATAAAAATGAAGATAAAAAGAGACACAAAATTTACGTGGAAAACCCCTAAATAAAATAGGGTAAAAACCACGGGCAACGGTAGAAGAATTTCACTATAAGAAAATAGGAATTACAACCTCTCTCGATCTACCAAGGAGAAAACAATGATAATTCTTTCTCGATAAAAAGGAGAAAACAACTCTCAAGAAACTCTCTAAATTCTCTCTAGTATTGGAAGAAAGCTAGAATGCTTTGGGATGTTTTGAAGCTAAATGAGCTAGGGTATTTATAGTTAAAACTTAAAGACTAATCTTGTAAATATCCTAAAATTACAATGACTAAAATTATAATTTACCCATTTAATTTTCAATCATTTTTCACCTAATTTTGACATTGCAAAATTCGGTGCCTACCTCCCTTTTTTGACTAAATTAATGCCCTTTTTCGGTGCATTTCAACAATCTCCCACTTGAAGATTTGATTGGAACAATCATATCTTCACACTATTCTTTCTACCTTATACCATCATGTTGCTTACGTTTCTGACAGGCCACATGAGGATCGACACCAAGTATATTTATCGGTATTGATCATCTTTGTCATGAAATCTGCTATGTTGTCTTTGGTATGTATCTTCTGCATATCTACCGTCCATTCTTCCACCTTTTCACGAATGAAATGGTACTGAACTCGTATGTTCTTTGTCCTTGAATGAAATACTGGATTCCTTGCTAAAATGCAAGGCGCTTTGACTGTCACAAAACAAAGAGACATACTCTTGATTGTGCCCAAGCTCCTCCAATAGCATCTTCAACCAAATTGCTTCTTTACTGGCTTGTGTAGTTGCTACATATTCTGCCTCTGTTGTGGACGTAGCCACAACTGACTGCAATTTTGAAACCCAGCTTACAACTCCACCAGCAACTTTGAACACATATCATGTAGTAGATTTGCTTTTATCCAAATCCCCTGCATAGTCAGAATCTACATACCCATTGATTAGTAAGTTTGATCCTCCGTAATATAATGCAACATTTGAGGTCCCTTTGATGTATCTTAGGATCCTCTTTACAATATTCCAATGCTCTTTGCCTGGATTCGCCATGTACCGACTAACCACTCCCACTGCTTGTGCAATGTCTGGTCTTGTGCATATCATAGCGAACATTAAACTTCCCACTGCTGATGCATACGGTACTCGAGACATCTCCATCCTCTCTTCTTCACTGCTAGGACTCATACTGGAGGATAATTTGAAGTTAATAGGAAGAGGGGTAGAAATTGGCTTACAATCTTGCATGCTAAATCGTGATAAGATTTTCTTCAAGTAATTCTTTTGTGAAAGCCAAATCTTCCTATTACTTCTGTCTCGCATCCCTAGAATCTTGTTTGCTGATCCCAAGTCCTTCATTTCAAATTCCCTAGCCAGTTGTGCCTTCAATTCTTCAATATGATCTTTGTTGGGTCCTGCAGCCAACATGTCATCCACATACAACAGCAATATAACAAAATCGTTATCACCAGACCTCTTGAAATAAGCACAATGGTCTGCATTAAGTCTGTTGTATCCAAGGCACATAATGAAGGAATCAAATCTCTTATACCAACACCTCGGCACCTGCTTTAGACCGTACAGAGATTTGTTCAACCTGCAAACCAAGTTCTTCTTTTCGTCTTCTTCAAAACCTTCAGGCTGGAGCATATAAATCTCTTCTTCAAGATTTCCATGAAGAAAAGCTGTTTTAACATCTAGTTGTTCCAAATGTAAATTCAATGTAGCACACATTGCCAAGACTACTCGAACTGTTGTTAGTCGAACCACAGGAGAAAAAATTTCATTGAAATCAATACATTTTTTCTGAGCATATCCTTTGACCACCAGTCTTGCACGATACCTCTCCATTTGATCGTCACCATTTCGCTTGATTTTGAAAACCCATTTGTTACCAATTGGCTTCATTCCTCGTGGTAGTGACACAAGGTCCCATGTATTATTTTTATGAAGGGATTCGATTTCTTCTTGCATCGCCATCATCCACAGTGAAGCATCTGATGAGCTGTTTATTGCCTCCTGGTATGTTGATGGCTCACCGTCCTCTGTTAAAAGGTAGTATGCAATATTACCTTCTATAATATAATCTGAGTGCCAATTGGGACGTCTTCTCACACGATCTGATTGACGAGTTGTTGGAGCTTCAGAACTCTCTGGTTCTTGTTCATCATGTGCTGGTTCTGCTTCAGAAGAATCTCCCTTTTCAAACTCTTTTTCCACATGTATCTGAGTAGTCTCTGACTTTTCAGCGCTATCATCATCTTCTTTTCTTTGTAGTTTATCTTCTACAAAGATAACATCCCTGCTAATGATCACTTTGCGGGCATTGGGATCCCACAAGCGATACCCCTTTACTCCATCAGCATACCCCAAAAACTTGTATTTCCTGGATTTTGGATCCAACTTTGAAATTTCTTGGGCGTTGTACATCACGTACACAATACTTCCAAATACATGGAGGTTTGAATAATCAACTGGTTTACCAGTCCACATCTCCATTGGTGTTTTCAGCTCTATTGCAGTTGATGGAGCTCGATTCACCAAATAACAGGCGGTATTGACTGCTTCTGCCCATAATGATTTTTCTAGGCCTGCGTCCCTCAACATTGCTCTTGTTCTTTCTAACAAGGTTATGTTCATCCGCTCTGGCACTCCATTTTGTTGAGGAGTGTTCGCCACTGTGAACTATCCTTTGATGCCTTCTTTCTTGCAAAGTCATCAAATTCTTCGCTTGTGTATTCTCCTCCATTATCTGTTCTGAAACACTTGATCTTATTTCCATAATCAAGTTCCACCCGCGCTTTGAAGTTTTTGAAAGTTAAAAACACGTCTGACTTCTTCTTAATAGGGTGCACCTAACATCTCCTGGAGTAGTCATCAATAAATGAGACAAAGTATTTTGCTCCACCTAGGGACGTTACTGGTGCTTGCCATACGTCAGAGTGAACCAATTCTAGAACACTTTTGCCTCTAGAATTTGATGTGTTGAATTTCAACCTGTGCTGCTTATTTGTTATGCATTGCTCACACAAAGGAAGTGATTTGTTAAGCCTGGAAGTAGCTTTGCTCTACAAGGACTTTCATTCCTTGTTCTGACATGTGTCCAAGTTTCTGATGCCATAGCATTGCCGAATCTGAACTACATGAGGCAGCAGAGGCTTCTGCTTCTACCAAAGTCTCTCCCTTCAACATGTACAAGTTTGCAGCTATCTTTTCATCTTTCAGCACCACAGGCGCTCCACGGAACACCTTCATGATTCCTTTCCGTGTTTCAATATTGCTTGCATTATTATCCAACAATCCGTAGGATAATAAATTTTTCTTCAGACCTTTCACGTGCCGCACATATCGAACAATTTTAATTGTTCCATCATACATCTTCAATTTGATGGTTCCCACACCAATGATTTCTAAGGCATGATCATTGCAACTATACACAGATCCTCCTGAGACAGGTTCATAATGATAGAACCATTCTCTTCTTGAGGTCATGTGATATGTTGCTCCCGAATCAATGAGCCAATATCTGCAAATCATTTCTTCTTCCACGGTGGTTGAGCTTCACAGCATAGAGCATCTCCATCATCTGAAGTGTTTGCGGTATTGCCTTGTGGATTGGAGTTTTTATTTAGACTCCAATAATCTTTCTTCAAATGACCCTTCTTTCCACAGTTGTAACACTTTAAATTCTTCTTGCTCCTCGACTTCGATCTACCATGTTTGTGACTGCTGCTTTGGCCACGTTCTGTTGATCTCCCTCTCATCGTTGTCATCGTTGTCAACGCTTCTACTTGTTGCAGATTTACTTGTCTGTCTTCCTTGTTATTGCGCCGATTTTCTTCTTGTAGAACAGCAACTGCAACGTCATCAAAGACTAGACTAGTGACATTACTGTTTGTCAAGTTGATGATGAGTTGATCATACGAATCCAGTAGACTTTGAAGTAGAAGTTCAGCATGTTCTTGTTCTCCTATTTTACAGCTTAAGGATGTAAGCTGAGAAAATAAAGTATTCAGTGTATTTAAGTGCCCTGTCACTGAAGTAGATTCTGGCATACGGAGAGTGTACAATTTTCTCTTAAGGAAAATTTTATTGTGCAGTGATGTGGCCTCGTACAATTTGGTGAGATGGTCCCATATCTCCTTAGCTGTCTTCTTCTCCTCGATGCTTGACAATACTTCATATGCTAATGCTAGATGAAAGTTTGATATAACATTCCCGTCCATTTCGATCCATTTGTTGCCATCTGTGAAATCCACTGGCTTTTCACTGATAGTTGCTAGACAACCGTCTTTCCTCAGGATGGCCTTCATCTTCAATTTTCACAATGAGAAATTTCTCCCATTGAATTTTTCAATATCAAATTTCGTTGCCATAGCTTCTATTATTGATAGCTCCCACAATTTCACTATCGTGAATAGCTCTCTAGAACCTCAAATAATGGGTAATACCTTCTTATTTTCTTATGTTGGAGGATCCACCTTTTGGTGGCAACCACAAAGACAATAAGCAGATATTACGCACTCAAATCTGGCTCTGATACCAATTGTTGCGGAAGACGGCTATCGGATAGAGCAAAATCGCAACTGATAATTTGAGAAAATAAAAATGAAGATAAAAAGAGACACAAAATTTACGTGGAAAACCCCTAAATAAAATAGGGTAAAAACCACGGGCAACGGTAGAAGAATTTCACTATGAGAAAATAGGAATTACAACCTTTCTCGATCTACCAAGGAGAAAACAATGATAATTCTCTCTCGATAAAAAGGAGAAAACAACTCTCAAGAAACTCTCTAAATTCTCTCTAATATTGGAAGAAAACTAGAATGCTTTAGGATGGTTTTGAAGCTAAATGAGCTATGGTATTTATAGTTGAAACTTAAAGAATAATCTTGTAAATATCCTAAAATTACAATGACTAAAATTGTAATTTAACCATTTAATTTTCAACCATTTTTCACCTAATTTTGACATTGCAAAATTCGGTGCCTTCCTCCCTTTTTTTTGACTAAATTAATGCCCTTTTTCGGTGCATTTCAACATCTTCGTCTACCAGAACAACCATCGTCGGGTTTAATCCGCGAAGCGCCTTTAGAAACATCGATTGATTCGATGACAGTTGGAAAGTGTAAGGGATCGAGTTTGCATTAGGTAAAGGAGATAAAGTTTCTTCTGGTATGTAATGAAGCATCATGTGGCAGTTGATATCTAGGTCTAGAGCCTCACCAGTTTCCGCATATACTAGGTGTAGAAGACGAAGTTGATCGATCAACGAAGCGAATCCATCGGCGTGAGCTGAAGGGAAGACCCTAAATTCCAGCATCACATTGCGTGACCAAGCGAAGTTAACCAACTTCGAGCCTAACTCTTCATACGTAAGATCAACCATTGCGGGCAACTGTTTTGAATCACCAGGAACTGTAAGATTCACCATTGGTGGTCCTTCGAGTCTATTAGCTATGGTGTCGATTAATCTGGGGATTTGCATGCAATGTGTCGAGCTTATATCAACAATGTGAACGACCGAATACCCTTTGACGGCCTCGAGTATTGCCGCATTTGCTGCGGTGAAACCGAACCGGTGCCACGAGGTTAAGTCGACATAGTTAGCCAACTCGATGATGGAGAAAGTGTGGGTATGGATAGTCATAGACAAGTTGCATCGAGCATTGGACATTGCTGCGAGCATTTTGCAAGTTCCACTTTTGGCTACTCGGACAATAAGAGCCCGAAGAAAAGCACAAGTTAGACGCTGTTTGGAGTCACCATCAGGTGGTGCAATGTTGATTAGGACCCAAAGGATTTGCTGGGCTAGAGTTGCATCATTGCTTTCGATTGCGTTTGCGCAACGGACTAAAAGTTGTTCCATGCAATTGGCATCACCGAAACTAGCTAAACCCTTTGAGGGAGGGAATCCAGGCCATGGACGAGCCTGGTGAATCTGGTCGGAGTTGTGTTCATTGTTGGAGTTGGAAATGGAGTGATTTGGTGAAAGGGGCGTGATGGGGATTTAGTGAATTGCATCATGGAGAATAAGAGAGACAAAGAGTGCTAAAATTGACCGGCAAAACGAAGCAGCAACAAAAATAAGAATCAGATGCTATCAGAAGGAAGAAGAAAAAGAGAAAAGGACTAGCAGTGGATATCTTGTCATTGGGAAGTGATCCACAAAGTTTTTGGTGAAAACAGTGACAAAAGCCCAGCACTGTCATTGGGAAGTGATCCACAAAGTTTTTGGTGAAAACAGTGACAAAAGCCCAGCAAATTATAAGTTCAGTTTGGGGAAATTCTGCAAATGAACAACAGAGAAAATTGAAAAGTTCAAGATTTCCTGAGGATCTCTCATCAACAAAGGCGCTGATCAAACTTCAAAGAACAACATGGTGCAAGTAAAATTTTGGCAAAAGAGACACTTCTTGCAACAAAGATGAGCCTTTTCAGTTGCTAAAAGATAGGTTATACAACGAACAAGAGCAAAACAAAAGCAAACTACTGATTCATAACATCCTCTATTATAATCAAAGAAAGAGATGAACAGTGTGAGTGGCAAATATAAAGGAGAAAAAAGAATGAGAGGAAAAGGCGGGCTACTTAAGGTTGGATTTTGGTGGTATGCGAGGATAGTCGGCCAACTGATTGTCTATATCTGGGGTTGGGCTTTTGTCATGTAGGTACAGGGTTTGAATTGAATGACAAATTCTTTTTATGAAACTTTCATCTTGATATTTACATTAATTCTGATTACATAGAGACTTACGTTAAGGGTTTTTTTTTATTAGTTAAGGTGGTTATAAAATAATATTAATTATTTAATAATAAATACTAATTATTCATGTTCATTGGATATTTGAATTATAACTTCAAAGAATAACAATAATTCTTTTAACCACCGAGATAAATTGATTCATACGACTTATATTAAGTTGAAATATAAAATAAATAACAACATTTTCCAAACTTTTATTTCCGTTAAATTCAAATTAAAATTTTATTTAAAAACATCAAAAGTTTTTTTTTTGTCAATTATACTCACTCGTGCGTAACATGCCCCCATGACATTTAACTTCTTACTCAACTTCATGACTAAACCATTAATTTTGTCACCTATTTTCATGCTCCCTTCTTTTGATATTTTCTTGTTTTTTTTTCTCTCTTTTTGCCTTCTGCGCTCAAACACCCTTAAAATATATATCAAATCAATTTTTTTTCTTTGATTTTGTTAATCGATGGCGATATTGATTTTGATAGTGATATTGATTTTGATGTTAGTTGTCGACCATCGATTCTTTTTCTTTTTTAATTTTTAATAAAAATAATTATATTTTTGGGAAACATTTTTCTCTATCTTTATGGCTCTTTATCGGACGTTTTATCGTTTTTTATTTATGTTTTCTCATGGTTGACACCACGACTGATCAAGATGACACATATTTGTAATCTTGTTGACCTTTCCTACTATGAACCATCAGATTAAATTTATATGCGGGATTTTACGTTTGTGGATAATTTCTCACGGCGCTAGGCTCTAATTTGCGATTCTCGGTGATCTTTCAATAACTTAATTCTCTTTTATGGTTTGTTTGTCAATGTAGCCCGATTCTTTTGTATCTATTTTTTGTTCAAGTCTTTTGATTGAGTTTTTGATCTTTTTCATATATGTTTTTTATATGATCTTACGTGATTAATTTCAATGTTATAAGAAAATATTCAAATTATATATTTAATTTAAGAAGATATTTGGGAAAGAATCATAGAAAGCAACAACTTTTCGCTGCCTTTCTTTTCCCTACGCATAAATATATATCTTTTTATAATCTTACAATTTATCAAAATGCATGCAGTTAAAGAAGAGTTTAAGAAGTTCCTAAAAGAAGCATAAAAAGGAGATTCATACAAGTTAGGAGAGAATTCTGAGGAAGATTCCTTAACTTCAAGATACAAGGACTAAAAGACACGTGGGCTAAATAGATATTTACTGTGCATGTGTTCAGAATTCTCAAATATATTATATCCATCCATTAATATCCAAACTTATTGAATTTATAATTCTTTTACCAGTAAAATTATTCGGTTCGTTCGTGTCTAATATTAATTGGATGTGCATCTTAGGGTAGTTTTGATTTTGCATCCATCATGAAAAGTATAAAAACTAAACAGCCAACATGAAAGTAAGGAATGAAAGCATGTGGTTAAAGATGCCCGACTGATAGAAAACACATGGTTTGTATTGAATCAATGACCACTTGGTATACCTTTTATTTTATTTAAAAAAAAATCTAAACATATCGAGGAACTTACCCAGAATATGTGGAAGCCGGAGATATACAGACAACAGCTTCGAATGTTGAGCTATTAAGAATAAAAGAATAGGGAAAAGAAGTTAAAAAGGGACGATATTTCTACATACTAGGTGTTGGACTTTGATTAGTGTACTTGTTCGGTACTATGCCAAGGTAGTCCACCCAATCATTACGTAGAGATGCTTGAATTTCTCTATTGTTTTCATGATATTATAATTTAGTTTGATAAATATCAACAATTGAATGGTCAAGTAGGATGCGACACTAAATTTCTTAAGTAAGGTCATGAGTTTAAATTTTAACGATTGCAAATAAAGTAAATTGGGTTGAGAGGATAGTTTTCACCTCTACAGTACCCGATTTAGATTAATTAATTAATATCGGAAACCGGTAGTTTAAACAAAAAATAATAGTTTGTTAAATTACTTTTTGTATAAACATATTTTTTATATACAATGTTTTTTCACTTATATCATGATTATGATAAAAATTAATATTATAGAGGTATAATATTATAATTTTATATACAATACTATAGATGAGAGAGAGGTTAGTACATTGAGGTTTTTGTTCATTTGCATTGTCGTACGCATTACTTTTGGCATTCTACTCTCTCTCATCCGAATTCAAATTGCAGGGCTTTGCTTAAGTAATCAAGCATGTTAAAACTGAATTAAAGGCTATAAAACCAAATTAACTTAATTGGGGTTTGCTACATACACCTTATTAGAGGTGGTAAACGGGTCATTCAGATTGGGTTTGGGACGGGTCATTCGGATTGGGTTTGGGACGGATCATTTCAGGTCTAGATTAAAATCAGTTTATTTTGTTCGAATCGGATCGGATATGGTTCGGATCAAGTTCGGGTGTAAGGTGAATCGAAACTGGATCGGGTATCGGGTCGGGTCAATTTTCAAGTTGGTGATTATTGGATCAGTTGTTTTCCAATTCGGATTAATATCAGACGGTTGATTTTTTGATCGGGTCAATATTGGTCCGGGTCAATACCAGATCGGTTGATTTTTGGGTTTGGTTAATACCGAATCGGTTACATTTAAGTCTGATCAATATCAGATCGGTTGATTTTCGGTTTAGGTCAACCTTTAGATTTGGTCAATTTAGGTTGAATTGGTTATGAGTCTAACAAAAATCAAGTATATATAGAATAATTGATATATACTTGTAAAAATATGTTTCTTATTTGTTAATTTTATCATTTAGGTTTAATTTCAATTCCCAATCATTTAATATTTTGAATTAAACCATCGTTTAGAGATGTTAAATCGATAATTTGACACAAATACGATCCTATAATACGTGTTAGAATTTGTTATCAAAATTTTATATTGATCTATATGAAAAGTTTATAATGGGAACTATTTGATAAAGAAATAATTTTTTTATTAAAAATTTTATTTCCAATTATAAATTTTATTTTTTTATTAAATTTTAAAAAATAATAAACAACTTTATTTGTTAAGTTTTAGTCATAACATAAGTAAACTTTATATTATTTTTATTATAAATCTAATTTATTTCCTAATTTAGTGTTTCTATTTATTTTTATAGATCTAATATTTTTATAACAAGTAAGATAAGTAAACTTTATTTATACTCTCAATCTTACAATTAGATTCTACTTTAATATCCTCTTAAACTTTCTATTAATTTATTATAAATCTAATATTTCAATAAATTATCAATTTTAATTAAAATAATTTATTATTGAAAATAACTTTTATCAACTTCAATCTGTTAAGATTGCTTTCGGGTCAGTTTAAATTCGGTTCGGGTTGATTTCGAATCGAGTTAAAATTCAGTTCGAATTTCTTTCGATTTAGGTTGCTTTTGGTTTGGGTAATTTCGATTTCGCTAAATTTTGTATCGGATATTCTTCCACAACGGCTCATCGATTGCAATCATGAGGTTCGATTTTAACCCCCGTTTTTTCTATTTTAATGTATGTCATTACTTAAGCTACCGAAAACTAAAGAATCGATGAACATGATAAGCAAACAAAAAAAAACTTGTAATTATTGTTTGGGAAATGAAAGGACAAGAGTGGAACAAGATAATAATACAAGGTGATAGAAGGGACTGCAGAGCAAATACTTGAAGGTGAAGGACTTGGGAAGATAATGAGAAAAAACGAAGGAGAAGAAGTGGACGACGATGATGAGGAAAAAGGAGAAGAACTAGAGGAAGATAGTGAAGATGAAGAAGAACATAGGGATAATGAGAAAAAACGAAGGAGAAGAAGTGGACGACGATGATGAGGAAAAAGGAGAAGAACTAGAGGAAGATAGTGAAGATGAAGAAGAACATAGGATTAAGCTTAATGATGGGTTTAATGAGATTGAAGTTATTCGTTATAAAAGGGTTTTGGAAATTTCTTCCTTTTTGACTTTGTTTTTGTCTAATTTTCTCGTGAACCAAACTGATGTTATAGAGGAAAATAAGGGTTCCAAATTGGATTTGTGTTAGTTAGGAAAAAGAAAATTTAACTTCAATTTCTATTTTACATTGCTCTCTTGTCGTCCTTAATTTTTAGGTGCTTATCCTTACTTTCATTTTACATTCCATAGCAATGGCATAACCAAAAAAAATTACGGTAGAGGTTTGGGGGTGAAGTGGGGGAAGAAGGGTAATTTCGGTACTGTATTTATTTTATTTTATTAATTACTTTTTATTTATTAAGATAAAGAAAATAAAGATTAAAGGATGGCATGTCTTGTTCTGGTTGTCCTTGTATTTTATTTTTAACGGTGTTAACGTTTTGGGACAAGCAAGATAACGATTTATAATTAAGGGGACAAAACGTATCGAAAAATACTTTAAGATATAACTCGGTACAAATAGTATAGTTCAGCAACAATGGGACATTTAAGCCTTATTAGAATGAATAACCATTTTTTTTTGGGGTTACAAAAAGAAGGAATAAGGCTAGCAGGTGCTCGAATAACCTCTCCAAGCCTGCTTGTCATATTGCAGAAGCATCTGAACTTCAACAGGGGGAAGTTTCGGCATATACAGACCCATTGACATCATACGACCTTTCGGGCGAGTGCGTCGGCCACTCCGTTGGCTTCACGGTAGATAGAGGATAAACTGACTAATCAATCCCGGTGAAGAAGCTCGCGAATACGTCGGACTAAAGCTAGTTCGCATCTTTGGCCCGGGACACAGAATTTCAATTGCTTCAGTATTATCCATCTCAACCTCAACGTTACTAGCACCATAGTTCCAGGCAACTTGCAACCCGAATGACCATTCTCATAAAGTGACAAAAATAAACTTATAGTAATCATCATCTCTATGCGTGACCAATGAACAGTTTGATTAGATAATAAAGTACTGAATCATGATTAGACATAGACAAGGAAAAAATATTGAAGAATTTTTTTATAATATTTTTAATAAGCCATTATTTATGGAGTGAGGCATTCGTGTTCTTGTGTTAAGATAAATATTTATCTCTTTCAATATAATTTTATCATATTTATCATATGTGTTAAGATAAATATTTTTAATAAGCCATTATTTTTAATAATAGTTTTGGTACTTTTACTTATTTAAATATTTATCTCTTCAATATAATTTTATCATATTGTTTCTTCATAAAAAAACTTATAAAAAATAATGACAATAAAATTTTAAAGAAATAATATTTATAAAATATTTAAAAAAAATAATTTGTACACTAAATCAAAATCATCGTCAACTATCATTAAATCTCACAGAGCTGTTAACAGTAGTTGATAGACTTTAAAAAATATTGTAACAAATATTTTTTATTTCCTAAATATCTTTTGTAAAAATCATTTTTCTATTTTTTTATTTTCATTTCCTCCTAAATTTGTCTATTTTCTCTTATCATGCTTGTACGAATAAAAACTTGCCAAATCTAACTGAAATCCATGGGATAGCAACGTCAGCTCCACATATAATTTCAGGTTGCTGCTCCAACTTGGCCACTTGTTGCAGCCATAAATAAACTATTTATTTATGACTAATTAATAAATAAGGGTAAAGTATACAAATGACTCTCTGACTATAGGGTACTATTACATTAAGTTATTTAACTACTAAAACTTATAAAATGCTCCTCCAACTATAGAGTATTACTTTTTTTTAGTCCCTCGACTACTAAAAGTCATAAAATGATCATCCGACTATTCATTATGTGCCAAACTCATCATTTTTTGTTAAAAAATTGATAGGATTATGAATTGAACGTTAACTTGCTGATTGTAATTTGATAACATTTGATCACATAATCTCAAATCACTATCATATATCAGTTATCGTGCTAAAGTCCAGTTTAAACAACTGTCAATTTTCTAACGAAAAAGGATGAGTTTAAAATATAATAAGTAGTTAGGTGATCATTTTGTTAATAAAACAATACCATAAAGCTAATGGATCATTTATGTACTTTACCCATAAATAAATTATTCCCATCACTCCCCATCTTTTCGCTGCTTCACGCTCCATTCGTTAAGAAATGTATTATTAGGTCTTTGTCTACATAATGGGAATTCGTTTTTTAAAAAGGATATTGGTGATATATTTATTTAATGTGAACTAAAAGTTTATTATGTGTTTCATTATAGTTTTCTAATTGTAAATCAGGATTTGTAGCGTACGATAATAATAATTATAGTGATGAGATTTTTTTTATATTTGTGTATATTTTTAATACATATAATTTTATAATTCATTATTAAGATTATTTGAATAATTATTTTGATCTTATTTATCTCTAATATATTTTAATCTATGATATTTTAGTTTTTATTAAAATAATATTTTTGAAAAAATTCGTTAGTTGACTATTGGTCAATTATATATAACATTTGAATATCATGTATCTATGACTTGATGCTTTTACACATTTGAATTATATATAACATTTAAATATAAATTTGCTATTTCAATTATGTTTATTTAAATATTTTTTTTGAATTAATCACTGGTATCCGATCTATTAACCGACTAATCCAGATCGGGTACTGCAGAGGCGAGAACGATCTTCCCAACCCAGTTTGCTCCATTCGCAAAAGTTAGGATTCGAACTTCTAACCTTGCTTAAGGACCTAGTGCCTCATCCCACTAGACCTACTGATTGTTAGTAAATAAATTTTATTTTTAAATCAATATCAAGTTTTAATTTATAAAATTATATTACATGTTACTAATAATATCATTATTTTTAAAAGAAAATGCTTTAAAATTTATAAAAAATCAAATATTAGAAATATATATATATAAACAACCTAAAATACTTGTATTTTCATTCTTATCTTGATAGTTCATTAAACTTGAGTTAGGATGTCTGGTTCAAATATCATACTTATCTTAATAGTTTGTGGGTAAATTTGTGCGTGTTTCAACCGACGAAGCTGGTACTTTCTTATACGCCTCTTTGCATCATCCAAAAGGCAAAAGCCGCCTGCCAATGAGTTGTCTGCCACTTATTCCAAACAATCAAATTCCTTTTATTATTTATTGTGGATAATTACAGGAAAAAAGAAAGAAAGTTGATAAGCCCATGTTTTTTTCCATTACTTTGTAATTTTTTAGAAAATATATAATAAGTTCATATATTATAATAATTAATGAAAGATAAATTAATAATCAATTAATAAACCCTATAAGATTTTAGATAGATATATTCTCCTATCCAAGTAATTGGGAGATAAAGAAAGAATGAGATGCGCTAGGTTTGGAATGCGGGGGACACGACACAATGACCACGGAAGAAATTTGTGTGGGAGGATGACTACAACTTATGTTCTGTACCTTTGTTGCTTCATCAACTGTTACTATCACTGTTATGTAATTTTATTTATTTTAATGATCAGTTATAATTATTAATATTTATTAGAATAATAGTATCTATTACATTTATAATTATAAGAACTATTGCCAACGTAAAGAAACCCGAAATTTTTAATTTAAATGTTATATAAAAAATATAAATAAACTATGATTTATTCATCAACAAATGAAGAAAAAAAACGGAACACAATTTAATGACAAAAAACATGATCATCGACATACTCATTTTCTTTCTCACGCACAGTTTTTACAGTACTAAACAAATACCAAGAGAGGAATCATATGCCGGTAATTTTTACAGGCTCTCACCGGAAAATAAATTTTCCGGGAAAACGTGCCCCCCCCCCTAAATAATCTAACCCCGCAAATCATTTCAAGGTTAGATTCACCGAAAAAAAGAATACTCTTTTTCTTTATTTTCTCTTTAAACAAACAAGTTTAGTAACTTCCCATCATCTGCAAGCCCACTTTCAAAGCACGTAGCCGTCGTGACGGATTCCTCCGATTTCATAGACGGGGTCCCCGGCCGGTTATTATCCGCCATTCGGTTTCCTTTATAATTTGGAGTCAAGCAAAGATCCAGATCGGACGGCTGTGATTTCTTCAACTCATCCATGGTTTTACGCTTATGTGATGAAACCTTAGATCTTGAACCGGAAAACCGACAGTTGGAGTTCAAACTCGTAACCGTTTCTTGCAACTTCCACACGTCCTCCGTACCGGAAGCTTCCGATGCTTCATTACATTCCGATATCGGAGCCATGAATTCCGGTAACGGCCGTGGAGTTCCGCCACGGAGAACGGTTTCGACCGCCTCTTGACAAACATGCCAGTTCCCGGTACATAGAAGCCCGACGGCTCCATTCGCGGGATTCACCGTTCTCCCGCAAGCTTCGAACAACAGCGACTGGAACAAAGCTGGTTGAGAGTTCCATTATCAAAACTTGAGAACACATAAAACGAAAAAAAGAAGCCAGAAATGTAAAGAAAAAAAAAGGATGTTTTAAGCGGCAATACCAGGGCGCTGAGATTCAGAAACGGCGCAAATGAAAGACATGAGACCAGCGCGGCCGAAGAACTTGGCGACGAAAACGGTGGCGAAACCCTGCGATTCGGAATTCTCGATCCATTGTAGACATGTACGTAGAACACAAGTGTCGCTGCATCCTTTTCGTAAGACTCGACACCCGTTGCAACTCATGAATATATCCCAAAGCTTTTTCAAGGTTCTGGTCGTTGGGTTGACGAAGCTGATACTTGGATTTCAAGGAACAGGGAAGAAGATAAAAAAAATGACTTCCAAGGGAAAACGATAGAGAGATAGCCAGAGAAGGATTTGAATCAGGGAAGTGATAAATAAGGGTTTTAAAGGGGAAAACTATGGAGGCTAAACTCTGAAACGAAGGGTTCAATTAGGTTGGTAGTGAGTGGGTGCGTTTGATTAGGTACAAATACTTCTATTAAACTCTACATTACGTGTAAGGAATGGATTAAATTAAAGAACATAAATAAAACCTATGATTAATATATGATATAGGAACTAATGATAGAATTTGTTACAAAAATTATGGTTGATTTGTACTATTTTGACATTAATAATTGTTTTTATTCTAATGCTTCAAAAAAGAATTTATCTATATAAAATTGTTAATTGAATTTTAAAACTTATGTTAAGAAGTCGTTATAATTTAATATTATAAAATAATTAAAATATTCTTATGTTCAACTTAAATAATTGTGAATTGAAAAATCTGCGGAAAACATTATATTTTTTAAGAAAGTAAGTTGAACTAATATTAATTATTATTCACATTTAATAAATAATATTTTGACATTTTTATTTGCTTCAACCCTTGCTATAGGAGGTGAAGTGTGAGTACAACATATTTTAAACTAATATTTTTTTAATTTATAATATTATTTAATAAAATAAAATATTATAAATAAAATAATTTTAGTGGTTAAAAGTATGATTGTTATTTCTAAATATTTCAATTTGAAACCCGAATAATTACAGAACATTTAAACGTTTAATTTCAAATAATTAGGAATCTTTAGAACATATATATTATACATTCTAATTAATTAGATTAATAAAAAATAATATAATATAAAATTATTAATAACAAACATTATTTAAGAATATAAAAATTTAAAAACCTAAGTTTTGGTTTAATCTTTTATTTCTCGGGAACTGTTGAGTGCAATGGAGGAAGTGCAAGAGATTAGATTCCTTAGACGTAAGCGGCTCCGTGTTTCCGCGGATGGTTGTCGCTCCACCGTTGGATTCCTTTGTTACTTTTTTTGCTCTCTCATTATTTATTTAATTATGTAACTTATATTTTTTCACATTATTATTATGAAATGTAAATTTTTTTATTTATTCGTATTTTCGAAATGTTATTTATGAATGTTTTATTTATGCTTTTTTATCTTGATATTTATTAGAAATGTATATGTTTTATTTTATATTTGTAAAATCAATATTATAATAGTTAAATATTGTGAATAAAGTATAGTTGATGGTAATGTAGAGATAGTGATGGAGATAAATTATTGTTTCATCTTTAGAGTTGAGATAGAGATACTGTAGAGTAGAGATGAGGACTGGAGATGACCTAAGACTTATTAATAGTGTAATTAAAATGTTAATAGTTTTTAATTAAAATTTAACATCTATTAGAAATATATTAAATAATTCTTTTAAACCTACATTAAAATATTCAATATCAAAGTATATCAAATTTGTATCAATAATTAGTTGGTTTAGTGTGATGAGATACTAAATTATTTAAATAAGATCAACAGTTCAAAACTTAACATTTGTGAACGGAGTAAATTAGATTGAAAATGTCACTTTCACCTCTGTAATATATGATCTGAATTAATCGATTAATAAATTAGATATCAATGATTATATATATATATATATATAAAACTTATAACATATGGATTCAAAATTTAGTTCCTAGATGGAGAGGAAGAGTGCACCTGGTCATGGAAAAAAATTAACGCCACAGCAGGGCTACAATAACTTTAATCCAGAAAACACTTTACAATAAGCAATGAAGAACACACCAAACAAGAAATGCAGCAGAGAGAACGAAACTGCTGTTTAGAGAAGTCCCAGAATTGACTTCTCAACAATCACACAACGAACCTTGAGATGAGCAAGTAGCAGACCGTACGAGCAACCGTGGAAAAAAACAACCCATCGTTGAGCAGCAACCAGCCAGAATACTGCACCTTCATAACACTAAGGCGCACACTGCAATCCAGAACCACTAGACTCTAAACTTCAATCTTTCAATTCATGCAAGCGATATGTCACGATCACAAGAATTTCATGTATCAAAATTATAAAATTTAACATTTTTAGATTAATGTGAATGAAAACTTAGTTTAATAATAAGGTTAAGGAATTGAGAATTTTAATATTTATATCTCATTATGTATAACAATTATATATAGATTTTATTAGAATTTATTCTGATTGTTACTTTATTTTCCATAAATACAAAATAAATAAATATATTATTATTTCAGCCTCATGTGGATGGCCATCTATCTGAATCTTCATGTGACAAACAGTGTGGACGTCTTTTTATTAATTGTGCTATACTTCATTAAAATTTCAATAGTAAATTGACGAAATTGATAAATAAGTTTGATTATTTTTGAAACTAAAAAATTAAAAATAAAAGAGTATAGGAAATTTAAAATATCAGTTTTTTTCCTGTTAATTATTTTTAGTTTTCTTTGTAGGTTGTACCCTATTTTTTTTTCTTTTATCTTAATCACCATTAGTCTCTTTTTTTCTTCATCTTTGTGAACAACAACGACATCAATCTTGATGTTGATCGTCGATATTCTATCTTTATGACACGTTTTGGTCGTTCGGCCGTTATTTTCATTTTTCATTTTTTTTCATGATTAAATTTGGCATTGTCACGATATGTGTCAGTATATGATTGCGATTATAAATTTTATTGTAATTTAAATATTTTTTATTTAAAATTAATAATTTCTATTAAAATATCAAAATTTTCTTACTCGAAATAACTCTACATATATTGTCCAGTGAATGAACCTAGCTTTATTCAGATGAAAACATTATTCATTATTATTCTCTTCGCTATTAGATCCGTCAATTGATCAGAAATGATATATAATATAGTTTGAACTTATCCTTGATTAGGGATGGGCGAACTTTTAGCTATCGATCGGGATAAAAATTTAAAATTTATATTATATTTGAATTTGATTTGATTTCAATTTTAATAATTTGATCTGATTTAATTTAATATAATACAATGAAAATACAATTTGATCTTAGAATTTCAATAATAAATTTATGTTTCCCCCCAAAAAATTAATAAATTCGTTTGTTGATACAGTCAAATCTGTTCGTATTTACCTTTTATCTAAGTTTATTTTGTTAGATTTTTTTAACTTTTCATTGTATGGTTCTTGTAAATTTAAGTGACTAATTTTCTCATGTTTTAAAAAATATCTTTATTATGTGTTCAGTATATGATTGCGATTATAAAATTTTATTGTAATTTAAATATTTTTTATTTAAAATTAATAATTTCTATTAAAAATATCAAAATTTTCTTACTCGAAATAACTCTACATATATTGTCCAAGTGAATGAACCTAGCTTTATTCAGATGAAAACATTATCTTCATTATTATTCTCTTCGCTATTAGATCCGTCAATTGATCAGAAATGATATATAATATAGTTTGAACTTATCCTTGATTAGGGATGGGCGAACTTTTAGCTATCGATCGGGATAAAAAATTTAAAATTTATATTTATATTTGAATTTGATTTGATTTCAATTTTAATATAATTTGATCTGATTTAATTTAATATAATACAATGAAAATACAATTTGATCTTAGAATTTCAATAATAAATTTAATGTTTCCCCCCAAAAAATTAATAAAAACCAAATATGTTACATAAATAAATATAAAAAAATAAAAAAAATGTTTTAATAAAAATATTGAAACAAATTTCATTTAGATAATATTAAAAAAATAATATTTTTTCTGATTTCAAATTTAAAAAATGTTATTTTTAAAAAAGAATTTAAATTTAAAGAATTATATCAACATGATATATATATATATATATTATATATATATATATATATATATATATATATTATCAATACACTAAAAAGATTATAAATAAATATAATCTTAGGTTCGATATATATAATTAAAAGAATATATATTCATGACATTTAAAAAAAAGGCAATTATATATTTATGGCAATTGGCAAAGTAGAGTTATCCATGGGAGTTGTGGGAGATTCAGTGATAGGAGAAGGAGCCTATCAGCATAATTTGTCAGTAAACCTCGACAACAAACATCAATTTCATCATTTATATAATGTTTTGTTTGGATACAACATTAGGATAAAATCATTGAATTCTTACATTGACATTTGTAAATGAATACCAATTTAATTATTGACATGGATAGAAATATATTTTTGTAGTCAGTTATTTATGGTTGTTTTTAATTAATATAAAACAGCAATAGTTAGTTAAAGAATAATTGTTGACCTTTGATTCTAGGTAAGAAAGAGTTATTCATAAGGTGAAGGTAGTAATATATGTGAAGATTATAAAGGTTAGGGTCCCCTCTCAATCAGGAGGTTGAGTGATATTTATAGTGTCTCTAACGATATTTATGACTATTTGTAGCTTAATAAACTAAATAGATTTGATCGTCATATATTAAATTATGTTTTGGTAAATCACATGAATGTGTCAGATATCTTGTTTATAAATTGTAGTTTGTCTGGAAACTATGATATTCATGTGATATGAGGATATGAATTACTCAAAAGCTCTGCTAAGCGAAGAGATATATCCGGAAGTTTTGATTAGCGGAGAGTTTGATGTTTCCAGAGTGATCTCCGAGATATAACAATTATTCTTCTTTAATCGAGGAAATATCATAAAGTAACTTGATTCAAAATTTATTGCAGAAAATATGATTTATCTCTCTTGATTTTGTTCAATGGTGGAGCTATCTCGAGCTATTATTTTCGAGATTAGAACAATTCGTTCCCCTTTTTCGATGGATCTAGTTAATAGGCAGAATTATTTCTACGTCAGCAAAGGTATTTCGAAAATGTGAAGTATCAATAAGATAGTTTACCCTATTCTAAAGGGATTCAAGTAACGAGCAAGGGTGTTTTTACACCGTTGTAGGGGTAGGGGCACCTCTAAACGTGCGAAAGCAGAAGATAATAGTTCTTGATTGGTGGGGAAATTACAACTTCTCTAGAAAATATTTTCAGAAGACGTCTTCAGTAGTATAACGGTGTAAAGAGTGATATTTTCTTGCGAATAATGATATCTCATGCAGGGGATGATATCCAACTCCGCACCCTATGAT